GCAGCCATTAAATATATATATATATAGATAGATAGATAGACAGACAGATAGATAACATTGATGGCACTTCACCACAATGAGAGCTCTGATGGGACCCCGAAGCCGTAAGTCATCGTCATCGTGAACGCAGGCCTCGAGCTTGCCACGGATGCAGGCCATGAGCAGAGGTGTGCACCCGGCATCGTCCGCCCGATCCTTGTCGGCGCCGGCTTGCAGCAGCAGCTGCGTTGTGAGCAAGTCACCATGTTCCTTCGTTGCAAGATCCCTTGTCAACTCTGTACGAAGCAGAGGATGCATGTGTATGGATAGAAAGCATCAAGTAGCATGACTAACAAGTATGTAGACAAAGAAGAGATCCCTGAAGTGCCCAATTTCGACATCCATGAATCAGAATTGCCAGCGGCTGCCATCCGCAGAGGCGTCGAACCGTCTTCGGTGGACGTGTCGGGGCTGGCCCTTTGCTCCAGCAGAAGCTGGGCAACAGAGGCGTGGCCGCAGAGAGCTGCCTCGAGGTCTGAGGTCTTCAGCGTTTCAGGAAATTTCTGGAAAACTAGGCTTGCACATGGCCATGCCCTTCATTTCCAAGAGTTACCACGGCAAGCTGCCATGTAAAGGGGCGTTGCACCAAAAGTGTTCAGCTCCTCCTTGTCGGCACCCGCCTTGAGAAGTAAGCGCACGGTTTCCACACAACCATCGGCAGCTGCCTCGCAGGCTTGCAGCTTCATGAAAGAAAGTGCTTGGGTCCTCGTCCACGTATTGAGTAGTAGATATTAAATAGAATTGAGGATTTGAAGTTTTGAAGGTCTGGGACTCAACGTTTCAGTGACGGCTGTGGCCTGGCCTAGCCTGCGAGAGCATGTGCACAATTTCGGGATGCGCATTCCCTGCCACCACATTGCCGGAGGATCTCTCAATCGCCTTACAGGGCCAAGGAGTTCACGTTGCCCCCACAAACCGCCACATCTCTCTGGGCCTTCTGCAAGGTAGCACCTGCGCCAATCAGAAGCTCTGCGATTTCCAAGTGGCCATGCAAGCACGCGACGAGAAGGGGTGTTCGTCCCTCGACGTCTGCCTTCGGCATTGAGGCTTCAAGGTTTTCTTGGACAGGAACCTTTGCGCCCCGGAAACTTGTTGCTTCGGTCGGCATCCTGTGATGCATGAAACCTAATTAATTGCTTTCTGCTTGGCAACTTGTTCTAGGTGTGCGGATTCTGCTGCCACAGTTGCCGACTGCCTTTGCATGTCTGATTGCTCGTTTGCTTGGAGTGCTTCTGGCCCTGCTTGCCGCAATATGTTTAGCAAAAGGTTGGGACTGTCCAATCTTCGACTCTCCGGGGGTGAGTTTTCTGACTGCCCGGGACTGTGCCTTGTCCACCTCGGCCGAGGCCTGGGTAAGCAGCCGCACGCCAGCGTCAGCTTGGCCCTTCAAGGGAAGCACCGCTGCCAGGGGCGTCTCCCCATCTTTGTTGGCCTGATCCACATTGGCACCGGCCTGGAGGAGGAGATCGGCCACCTCCAAATACCCTTTGCGGCAAGCTAAGAGCAGGGGAGTCCAGCCGTCCTTGTCGGCCGTGGCAGTATCCGCATGGTTTTCTAAGAGAAGGCGTGCAGTTTCAAGTTCGCCAAGTTCTGCCGCCATTCCCAGCGGCGTCGACCCGTGCCGGCTCGTGCAATTCAGGTCGGCACGTGTCTCCAGCAGCACCCGAGCCACAGCCGAGTGACCCCGCAAGATCGCCATGTGCAGAGGGCTCTTCCCACAGCAGCTCACTTTGTTTTTGTCGGCGCCAGCGTCCACGAGAAGCCGGGCGGCTTCGGCGAGCCCGTTGGTCGCTGCGTTGAAGAGGGGAGTCTCTCCCCTCAGGTTGGCCTTGTCTGCATCAGCCCTTGCCGCCAACAAAGCTCGGATCACCTCCAGATGGTGGATGTCCACAGCTTTGAACAAAGGGCTTGAGCCGCGGAGATCCGGCTTGTCCACGTCGGCCCAGGCCTCCAGCAAGAGCTCCACAATCTGGACGCGGCGAAGCTGCAGTGCCAAGTGCAACGCAGAAGGTTCAGGAGACGACCCTGGCTTCGAGATCAAGTCCGGATCCTGCGGCCTTTGCAAGATTGATTCGACCTCCTGAGCGTAATTGTTGACAATTGCTTGCATGAGCCCCCGACACTGCGCTTGTGTGGTCTCTGAAAAGGGTAGCACCACCAACTGCAAGTCCAAGGATGTTTCGAGCAGCTCCGAATCTTCCAGGAGGACGCCATCGCGCAGCAGCCTTTGCTTGAATCTCGGCTGGCCACAAAGCGCTCCCAGATGCTGCTTCCTCAGCTGCTGCTAGCTGCTATGCCACTATGCACTTTGGGAGCGACCCGGAAACCCAAAAGCCCCTGCCCACCTGCCGAGCCTCAGCACAAGCACGGAGGGAGGCCACACTGCATGCGGAAGATCCTCGATGTGCACCACCAGCGACTCCCCTGATGCCAGGTACACCCGCCACATCACGCTGCGGCACCGTCAAGGGCTGGGGCAGCTCTCAACGCAGTCTACACATGCTAGAAACCTGCATGTACCAATTGAAGTTTGTGCTTGCTGCAATCCTAGAAATCAGGACAGATCGAGTACCACATGGCATCATATCATTCTCGGGTACATCTGGAGCATCTCGGCTGTGTCAGGCCCATGGTTGCAAGCACAGCTGCATGCACACGCCCAGAGAAATTGAGAATGCACTCCTGAACCGACCCGACCTGCTGTGGCTGGAGTCTGAACTCTGATCGAATTGCTGTTCCACTGTGACTTGCGCTGTGGGCCTGGGCATTTCCACCAGCACCCAGGGAGGCCAACCAGGCACCACCCGGTACCGCCACATCGGCGGAGCCTCCCTGAAGGAAGAGACCCCTTTGGATGTGTCGGGCCCATGAGTGTTCGAGTGGCCCGGAGTTTTGGATTTCGCAGCATTAGAATTTTGGAAGCTCACCCTTGCGGGTAGTGACCACATAGAAAACTCGGCTGACACCCTAAACGCCGAATCCCCAACCCCTAACCCTAAATTGGTTCCAAGTTGCGGACCGCTGCGAGACCCCAAACGAACGAATCTACCGCGACTGGCCTCAAAGGCCCACAGGGCCCACATTGTTGCTGGAAACTTTCGAGACCCTGAAATCTAAAACCCAAACCCAGACTGCACCCTGAGCCCTCGCGGGATGCACTCTGAGAGTCCCGGCTTCCTCGGCGCCGGGAACTTCCTCCACACCCTCGTCTTCTTGGACCTGCCGACAAGTTTTTTGAGGTTCAAGATTTCAGTTGCTTCTGCAAGCTCATTTCAGCCGGTGTTTTCAACCGTGATTAGTAAGGGGCACGAGTGAATCGCAAGGACTACATCCAGGATCCCGGGCTTAAGGCGAAAATACAGGACCTTAGGGTGTAGGGACTTGGGGCTTCGGGTCGCTCAAGGCAATAATGGGAGTACGACCTCGAGAAGAGTGTTCATGGCACTAGCAGCACCGGCACCTGTTGCAGCATAAAAACTGCAATGATCGCAATGGTAACCCCGGAGTCCGAGCCGCTGGCAGGCAGGTCGGACTCTCTTCGCTTGGGGCCACCTCTCCAAAGCTCCCGACGTCCCAGGCTTTCCGTTCACATTAGACATACTGCATCCACCTTAGAAAAACACACACACACACACACACACACACACACCTGACTCCTTTGACACCATGTGTCCCAGGTCGCAAATCAGTTGTCTGGAATCAAGTGAATCACTCAGCTTCAGGGAAAGTCACACACCGAACGTTCTAAAACATGCCTTGAATGAACCTTGAACCTGCTCACAATCTCAGAGATTACGTCCAACTGACTTTCTTTGCTCGGCAGGTACGTTTGCACTCCTTCCTGGGGGTATCTTCGTTGGTCGGTGACCCCCAGGCAGAGCACCGGCCCTCTGATGACGCAAACTCGCACTGTATGAAACTCCTTTGAAACAGAAATTGACACACACACACACACAAACACCCACACACACACACACACGCGCAGACAAACCGGAATCATCCTCTAAGGGAGGCAAATCGACACACAGAGATAAGTTGTAGCGACACGCGCACACACAAAGAAAACAACACAAGGCCCTTTGCGGATGTAGCCTGCTCCGCCAACCCTGAACTTGGCCAAGCACAAGGCTTGCTGGCATCTTCGACTCAGCTTGGGGTCGGAGAGAACAGCGGGCCTTTGAAGACCCGAGCGAAGACAGGCGCAACCTCCACTCGCCTTGGCAACTCACACTTATGGCTAGATCCTCCTGGGCCGAACTGTCGAGCCTTGTCATTGTAAGTAAAGCCCCTGCTCTTGGGAGCGACAGCCCAAGCGCAGGCTTTCAACTCATCTCAGCTCGGAGCTGATCTGCACCGCTCTGCCGCTTTGCCTTCTTCTTTCTGTCGCCCTGGCACGCTGCAACTGGGGGCACGCTGCGGGCTGCAACAACGATATGCAATAACAGGCAGCAGCGAGAGGAAAAACGTGGGAGCGTAAAGGACTAATGCCAACGACGCTAATCCTGGGCTCCTGAAGACTGAAACTGCCATGAGCAAGCATCCCTTCAAATTCCGGAAAACGCCACTGTGGCCCCGGGAATACACTGTGACCGACTGACTGCTGTGCACAGCTTCCATTACCATCCATCCATCCATCCATCCATCCATCCATCCATCCATCCATCCATTCCTCCACCCACCCAACCATCAGATCGACGAACAGATGCGTTGAAAATAGAAAGCCGAGAGAAAGAGATGTAGATAAGGTACCGGTATAGATATTCACAAAGACGCCAACAGAGTGCGAGAGAAAGAAACAGAGAGAGAGAGAGAGATCAAGACACCGAGAGACAGAGAGATAGAGCGAGAGCGAGACAGAGAGAGAGAGAGAGACAGACACACAGAGACAGAGAGAGACCGAGAGAGACACATCATGTCTCAATATGATATGGCTGTACAGACGCAAAACACACTGTGTCCATAGTGTCATATTCATTTCTTAGTTCGTACTTACATATTCACTCAGTCACACTCACTCACTTATGTGCTGCTACCTGCACCTACTTACACGTGCTTACACTTACTTCCACTTATTGCAATCACTTCCAGCTACTTGCACGTACTTATACTTACTTACATTTACATACACATACTAATGCCACTTACTTTTACTTAGTGGTGAATACATTGGCTCGCTGGAGCAAGTGCAGTTTGTACGTATGTATGTATATATGTATATGTATATGTATATGTATATGTATATGTATATGTATATGTATATGTATGTGTACATGTATATGCATATGTATAGTATGTATATGTAAATGTATACGTACAATATGTCTATGTAACTGTATCTACATATGGCTCTTGTATATGTGTATGATCCACACATTCTAACATACTTCTCTATGTTTATATATATATATATACATGCACACATATACATATATATGTATATATAGATATACGTATGTGTCTCCAGATACTGGTATATACACATACAGACAGAGGGATAGATAGACAGGTAGGTAGATAGAAGATACACGACACATAGATACGTATGTGTGCAACAAGTAGAGTGCAGACGGCCCTGCGAATTCAGAACCTGCGGCTCGCTGCCCGGTGGGATCGACGGAGCCGCCTCGGCGCACCCATGCTGGAGATCCCGTAGCACAGGCTGCTTTGAACGTCAGAAACCGAACCGTCCCAGACATGTTCAAGCATTTCGTGAATGGTTCTTGTCGGCCTCTGCTGCTGGCGTAAACCGCCGCACAAGAAGCTTTGCGCCTGCCGAACGGCAATCGGACTCGTGTGCAGCTGGCTGTTTTGCATAACGCTGACATGGGTAGTGACACTGTCCAAACAGAGCTTCTGAGTCGTCTTGTTCACTCAACCTTCAAATCAAACAATAAAAATTTGGTGCTTCCACAGAAGATCCAGACCTGAACCTTAGCATCGAAGCGAACGTGACCCAATCTGCACCTAAACCTGACGCGGGCATCAGCCTCCTGTGCGAAAGAGTTCACACTGTCGCCAGTACACTGTCTTACAAACAACAGCAAGAAGGAGCTCCGATGAAAGCCGGCATTGCGAGCTGATTTACGGGCCATTGCTGTATTTGGCTTATGAACCTGAGGCTCCGGGCGTGTCACTGATGGGGATCCGAAAGACCAATGGCACAAAATGGCACATGTCAGCTCGAAAAAATCTCAAAACACACCTAGCACAGCCCAATACCTGATTGCCTAAGACCCCTCGATCCCTCAGGCACCGGAACTGCAAGTCCTCGGCGACACGCCATGGCCAAGAGCCAGAGCCGGGGAAATCTTAGAGATTAACAAGTACCACATCATGGCTAGATCAGCGAGTTTTGAAACTTCAACCACTCGGTGCCTGGGTGGCCCTGCGAGATAGGATTGCGGCATCCTAGGCTCTGCAGCTGTATACCATGTGAGAAGCCACACAGCTGCATCAAAGGCTTTCAGGAAAAATCGCTAACAGGACACGCGCACTCCTGTGCCTTGCCAAGGGCCAGGGGATGATCTGTCACAATGGGCTCGAAATCCGCGCCATTGCAGGGCAGGTCCTGTTGTTAAGGTCAGTTGCGTACTCGAGTCGTTTCTCGTTCCCGCTCTTTTCTTGCTTTTTCGGCTTTCAACAAAGACTAACAACGGAAAGCATGGAAAGATGGCTTGCCTCGTCTGAGCTGTGGCCACACGGATTGAAATCCTTGCCAGGATGGGTCGGCCCCGGATTCTTGCGTAAGCTGAGTGCGTCCGAGCAGTTTTCAAGTGTTGAACACCTCGAAGAAAACAAGACTTCCCAAAATCGAAGCAAACACTATCCATTGGTCCAAGGACCCCTCTCAAACTCCGACCACGCGCCTTGCTGGGCCGAATTACGTACAGCGCGATGAGAACTGTCGTCCAAATGACGATGGCCAATGACAACACCTGAGTCTTTACATGTACTGTTGTTGGTGGAGTTGTTGTTGTGGCAGCCGTCGACCATCGACGGGGTCCTGGTAGTCGTCGTCGAAGCGGTCAACATACCCATACTGGTGCTCGCAGTGTCGCGGTAGTGGCGGTGGGGGTGGCAGTATTGGTAGGAGTCGTAGTAGTGCCGTCGTCGTCGCAGTGGTGCTGGTGGTGGTGGTGGTCGTGGTCGTTGGTCGTGGTCGTGGTCGTGGTCGTGGTCATGGTCGTGGTCGTGGTGGTTGTCGGGGTCGTGGTCCTGTTCGTGGTCGTGGTCCTGGTCATCGTCCTCGTCGTCGCAGCAATAATCACGATAATCAGCAGCGGTAGTCGAAGTAGTCGTCACCCCAGTCGATGTCGCAGTCGCAGTGGTAGTGATAATGCTGGTGCTAGTGCTAAGGTGGTGGTGGCGGTGGTGGTGGTGGTGGTGGTGGTGGTGGTGGTGGTGGTGCTGGTAGTAGTAGTAGTAG